TAAATTGCCTTCGTGACTGTAACGTCCCTTCGATTGTCCCTCAAAAAATACAACGACAAGGCTACCTACTCACTAATAATAGGATAACACTGTCTAAAGGAAAAGAGGAAAAGAACGACCCTTTTCGAGTACAAAAGTAGATAATTGTTATAAGTTTTCTCAAAAACACTTTTTTTGCACTTACACACAAAAACTACTTTTCAAAAGACATTTCAAAACACTTTGTATATTTTCTCCACTATCCCGAGAAACATTACAAAGTTCGCCGTACTAAGGCATTTTCCAAACATTTTCAAACACACAAAGCACAAAGACATTTCAAAATGAGCAAACCTCTAAGAGCCCGTGGAAAACCACAGATGGAAAGGATGCTAACACCTTCCCTTTCCATAATCTACCCCCTTACTCCGAAAACATCTTGAAAAGGTCTTTTTTGTTCTTTTTACCCTTTCGTTAAATTGGATAAAAGAAAAGACGGTGGCGACTCTTGCTTACCGCACATTTGCGAACAAAAAACACAAAACCAGTATATAAACAGTCGGTTCTGCCACCGTATCACAGAAAGCAATAAAATTCAATGCAAACATATGCTCAGATAAACATGTACGAATGAATAAATTGAAAGCATAAAAACAAACACCCAAATAAAAGACAACAAGAGCTAGGAGTGACTCCGGGATGGACCAACAATTGGTCAACAATTTCCCCAATGAAGTCGCCAACTGAAACAACCGGCTGAAAAATCATCAAACAATGAAGTTTCCACCGAACGTCTTTTATCCAACATGGAGAGAAATATGAACATCAAGAAAACCTAAGAAGGGAGAAGTCACGGCCTTGCGACCGAGAGATCGGGTAATGGAGTCTGTTACAAGAGAGGAATGTATTAGCACCCCAGACACTCTTAGTATTCTATGGCATCCACTCTTGTTATCTATCTTATGGGTGTGTTTAATCTATGTTTACTGCTTATTACTGAGAAAGAACGCATGCAAAAGAAATGAGAAAATAATGTAGGGAAAATAAAGTTGTGCTTGCTAGGGCCCTAGCCCAATGCCTACGTATCCTTTTTGAGGAATCAAAGTTATCGTAGTTCGGCTCACATGTTTTATTTGTTTTGTATTTTTTATGAACAATGTTAATTCTGCCTTCTATCACAGCTCGACCTTTGGAGACTCGCGCGTTGGCACAAAAGTAAATTAACATGTCCTTACCTGAAAATGATTTTGAGTTACGCCCTGAAGGCAAGATGCCACGTTTGATTGGTTTATGTTTTGTTACCTTAAAAAGGGTTTAAGTGTGATTAAGATGTTTTATGATTTTTCTAAGAAAAAAAAAGTTTTAGTTTTAATGCATATGCAAGAAGGGAAGAAAAGAGTCAACAGGAGACTAGCTTATTTCTGATCTTAATGTTATCATACAATGGTGGTCCTAAGGTTCGGATTAACCTAAGGGAAACGTCTACCTAATGTTAGAATGCATGGCTTACAACCTAAGGTCTAACTTGCATCGGAAAGGAACAAACACGTCCTAAGGGAACATGGTATAGAAAGAAAGTGAGCAAACAAGCTCGAAAGAGTAAACACATAAAATGGTAAAGAAAAGAAGCGAAATGCTTTAGTCAAGGGGAGCGGATCACTCGAGACAAATAAGCGGGAGTGAAATAAAAAAGAATAGAAATGCTTTAGCTAAGGGGAGTGGATCACTCGAAGCAAACAAGCGGGAATGAGATGGAAAACGAAAATGTGATAGATGACAGAAGGTAATATAAACAATCACGGAGTATCAACATCAGCCAATACGAACTCCTGATAAAGTGTGGGGTATTAGTTGCAAATCCCTTTTCCACTTGACGACTTAATAACGAGAGTAGGCACAACTCCGAAGAATCATGGTGCATCATGAGCTAAGGATGACGCAGGCAAAATTGCGGGGGTTTTGTAGCGGTAGAAGTGTTGAGACTAAGCCATTAGATTGACTTAACTCTCACAGATTAAATAAAAATCGCCACCATGCTTTATTTTTTCCAGAGGAATGGGAAAAGAGCGAATAACCCAAAAAAAAGGGGAAGAATATAAGTAAGGGGGTTGGTTATGCTAAGGGAAGGTATTAGCACCCTAAGCATCTACGATAATCCGCATGAACCTCTTTAAAAATTTGTGTATTTTGGCTATAAATGTTGTATAAAAGATAGGTGGTGGAGATGGGAAAAGAAGTATTTTTTTTTACAATTTTTGCACATGCCACGGTTGTGAACCTTTAGTGCCTACGTATCACCTTCCATTCAATAGGGGATCAGGGTACTCGTAGTTCATCTTCAAAAATTTAAAACAAGTGTGTTGGTTAAATTTAAGAGACGAGACATCATTGTCATATCCGAGTGGAAAATATACTTACTAGCCACGATTATGAGAAAGGATAATTTGAATCATCTCAAAGTGGAGGATATAGCTTGGATTTTAAAATCAACAAAGCCTCACTCGACACCCAAGTGGAAAACATCTCACTTCACTATATATCGTAGAAGTATAGTAGCTCGCATCACTACAAGAATTGACAAGAGTCTAATCTTTTAAGAAAATTTTAAAGTAAAAAAGCCAAAGTGGCAAACATGGTTTGAATGAGATTGATTGAATTTTAGTCTTATCACAAAAAAATGTCAAAGTATGATTAAGTTGGTTAAATTTTAATTAAGAAAATATTTTTGAAAGTGCATGGATCTAAGTCCAAGTTTATTGTGAAAGCGGTTCAAGTTAGAAAACAAGAAGAGTTTTTAAAAGGAGGGAGAAGGTTTTTTGAAATTAAAGAAGATGGAAGGAGATGAAGGGAATATCCTAAAGCATAAGGTAAAAGCTAGGGAAAATAATTGTCTAACCAATAAGAAGTCAATACTTGACACAAAGAGTCAACGTAGAATTCCCATCTTTTGGATTGAAACCAAAAAAGAAAATATACTAAACCTCTTGAGAATACCAAGCTTCAGATGCATTTAGTCTTCACAAAAATTGAACAGTGTAACAGTTGTATATAGAGGAATTCTTAATAACAGACAAAGCACATAATCAGAATAACCTGCACACAAAGAAAAACAACTCAATGTCTCGGGGTAAACCCCAAGAACTCCAGACAAAATAACAATAAGAGTCACAAGGTCCCAAGGATAGTCAAAGGCTTCTAATCCTAAGTTCTAAAACTTCACAATGTCATGGATGGTAACCAAATAGTCCATGTAACCTTAAGGTTTTTTAACGTTCAAGTTGGTTATTAAGTATCTTCAAAAAGAAAATGAAAGCTCATGTGAGCAAAATAAAAATGACGTAAAGATAAATGCTCAGATGAGCAAAGATGTAAATGCTAAGATAAATGGTGCATGAAAGTAAGGGCATAAGGTAAATGGTATAAAGTAAAAGCACAAAGCACAAAAATAAAGTCAATTATTAATGAATTAGAAGTTAGAGGTTAACTGAATGACCATCTTGAAACTCGCATTTGAAGACTCGTTAGAAGATTGATAAAATTAAAACTTCTCAATAACAAGTCTCATTTGCTTTCGATTAAATATATCATTCATTTCAAATATCCAAGGTAAGCACATATGATCAATGATGTTTAACTAATTCACTTAGACTAAAACTCATGAAAGTTCATTAGAGGATTGATAAGATCAAAGCCTCCTTACAATGAACCTCAAGGTTATTGGATCAAAAATTTCAAATTAAACATACTTGAGCTTGTAAACATAGGTTTGGGTCACGAATGATCATCTTTCGAATCGGGACAAATTTAACGCTATGTTAAGCAATCGTAAATTGACTTATGTAGAAGTCACACATATTTTGAGGCCGGTCAATAACAATGTATGTACTACACAATTTTTGAGATGTGATAGAAACCACACTCATAAAACTTATAGCACAAGAAAAGTCAAAAATAAATAAGATGAAGAAGAAATAGATAAGAATTAAATTCCACATTTGAACCAAAGAATTTAATCAAACTATCATTAAAATTATTCATCCATTTTGGTGGAGTTAAACTCAACACCCAAGATCTAATGATGTTAATGAAGCTCATGATTAAAATTCTCATAGTTCAAGATCAACCAAAATATATGTAAAAATAAAATTGCATTTAATAAGCAAGATAGAATGAGAAAATTATTTTTAAAATGAAAATAAGAGACAAAATAACAAACTATATTCAAGATATCCAAGAAAAATTAAAAGAGATCATACAAAAGTCAGAAGTGATCTCAAATATTTTTACAAATTTTTTGATAATTTTTTTAAAACAGAAAAATATTTTTTAAATCATTTAAAACCACTCAAGTAAGTGAAAAATGATTGAAAATAGTAAAAATCAAAATTAAATTTCAGAAAAATTCTAGAAAGTCAGAAATAAAGCAAATATTTTTTTTTTGAATTTTTTCAGAATTTTTGGACGAAAAATAAATTTAAAACAAATTTTTTAAGTTAAAAAAGAATTAAAATTAAAGAAAAAAAGAAATTAAAACAGAATAAATTTCAGCCCTTTGATATGGTCAACTTTAATGCAGTAATGACATCAAAGGGTTCATATTGAAGGTACACAATAAAAGAATGGTACAACATGTACAAGATTTAATTTTCGGTCATCTTTTCAGATGAGAACAAGTGGCATTGGTGACCACTTGTCACCTACTGACTGACCGACATGGATCTCGAGAGAATAAGATAAAAATTATAAAAAAAAGTAGAACAAGAAATAATGGCGGGTGAAGAAGAATCACGGCGGCGACCGACCAGACTGGCGGCGGCGCCGTCGTAGATACATTTTTTAATCTTTTTTTTAGTTTCCGAATCCTCTCCCTCTTCTCTTTCCCAATCTCAAATTTGTTTTTCAAAATAGGTAATTAAAATGAGTAGATCTACAAGAGAAGTCTTGAAAAAAAAAATTGAATAATAAAAAACAATCAACACAGAGCAACAAACAGAGGGTGGATTCGGGTGTAGAAAAGGAAGATGAAGAAGAACGGTGGTCAGAGAAGGTGTTCAGGCGGGGCTACTATTTCCGGCGAGTTAGAAAGCTTCTGATGATGGAAAAATTCTGGTGACAAATAAAAGATTCTGGCGCGACTGAGGAGCTTCGGTCAGGGATTCCGGTCGAGTTCTGGCCAAGAGGCTCAGATGAGAGGTATTTTTCTTTGGTTATTTGTTCTCACTTTCTGAATTTGTCCGTGAAAATGAATCAATAATCCAAACTTTGTCAGTTGTGAATGAACTTTAAATTGAGCTTGATATTAGGGCTTGAGTAGAAAACAAAATGGGCTGAAATTATTCTCATGAAAATTGCTTGCACAGTCCAATCTGAAAATTGATATTTATCCCTCTAACAATCTATTTTTTTTCAAACTTTGTGTTGTTTTGAAATTCCAAATGGGCCTTGAGTTTTATTGTGGTTTTGGTGTTGAGAATTTTGGAATTGTTGGTCTTGTTCTTATTAATTTTGAATGAATTTTTTGGTAGTATTGAACCACTTGGACAAAGTATGCTTACATCCACTTTTTCCTCTTATTCTTTTTTTGTTTATGGAATGGTGATCGAGTTTGAAGAAAAGTTTTGAGGAGCGAAGATGACACCGTGGCTACTCACAAGGATTTGGAAGATGCACTATTGAAGAATGTTGGAGCTTATCATGAAACAAAGATTGATTCAAGAAGCTTTTAGAAGAAATCAAGAATTTGAATTCTCTTGTAAATTTGCAAATTAGGCTTTAGGAATTTTGAAATTCTTGAATTCAAGTAGTATAAACTTGTAACATCCTTTTTTTGTAATTGAAAGCTTGTAAGCAACTTCAACATTCTTATATGTTTTGGATCTTGGTAACTTGTAATTGCAACTTGAAGAACTTGTTTATGGATTTTGAATGACCCATGAGAGAAGTTTGACAGCATGATGAATAAAAAAATACTTGAAATTTAGGCTTGAGAACTATTGAATCATGAATGATTTGTCTTGAAAAGTTTGGCCAAAGAAACTCTTGAATTGGTTTGTGTGGCATAGATAGGAAACTTGAGATATTTTTGAAAGATTGTCTAAAGAAACTTGAATACTCCTTTTTGCATTTGTTGAAATTTGTATGGAAAAGGTATTTGGATTCTTGAGATGTGAATGATGAACATATTTTGAAACCATGAATGCTCTTGAGTTGGAAGCTTGAAAAAAAACTTTGGAATGATTGAATGATGGATAATTAATGAAGTTGAATCTTGAATAATGTCTTGAACTCTCTTTGAATTTTCCTTGATGAAATGCTTATAAACTTGAATTTGAGAATGAAACTTGCCTTGTAATTTCTAAATTCATGAAAACAAAATATTCCCTCCACCTTTTGAATTTTAAAATGGAGCTTGAATCATGAATGGTAATGTCTTATAACAAACTTTGCACTTCTAATTGGAGTTTCTTTTGAATTTAGAAGGCATCATATGATTTAAAACCTTTGAAAATTCATGAATCATCATTGAATAAGCCTTGACAATTTTGGCTGAACCTTTGTTTTTTTCTTCAAAATAATTTACATGAATGAGATTAAACTTGTATTTTGAACTCCATGTGATTATCTTATCACTTTAATTTGAGTCAAATGTTTCAAACAAAATAAATGTTCAAGAACTTGGTGCCTAAAAACCTCAACACAAGCAATCAACACTTTAATAAAGTAGCCATGGTATGAATTGAAATTAGAGGTTATGGAAGTACTAAGTCAAAATGACCCGTAAAGTTTCAATAAATTTCGTGGCTTTCCGAGTACAGTCTGATCTCGCTCATTGAAATAAACTTGTAGACAATTTCATTTGTGACATAATGCAAAAAGAAACGTCCCACAACAACGGAAATTGAAAGAGTTATGATCATCGGAAGTTGGACGACCGACACTTTGAAAATAGGTCAAAGTCCTCAAAATAACCTCTAATATACTCAAAATTTGGATGGCCTTCTACACATAATTAGCTCTCGAATTGTAAAGATAAATTGGATATGATGTCAAGGAGATTCACATGCTCGAAGAATCGACAAAATATAATAAATAATGAAGAAGTTATGATTTTTTGAACTCGAACTTGCAAGCGTCGACTTTCAGTCAACCAACTTTGAATTAACTGCAGACTTTCTCTTTTTTCATAACCCAAAGCACTCTTAATCACATATGAACTTGAGATGACTAAATCTTGATCAAATCATGCTCACACTTGTCATAACTTGAGGTTACTCGTCAAAGAAGGCATGGAAATAAATACATGAACCTATCTCGAAAAGTCTTGACAATTAAGCCATCAAACTTGCCTTAACCATGCTGAATGAAGCTTGAGGATAGTGTGACCTAAGATTACAGATCACCACTCTGAAACATAAGTTTTCGGGAACCATCTTTGGCCTGAACAAACCCCAATTCTAATCGGAGAACCATCACCTGAACTTCTTGATCGCAAACCCTATCTTACAAGAAACAAAATAAACAAAACAAATTTTTGGATTTTGGTTAGAGGTCAGCAAAATATAAAACACATATATACAAAATACACGATTCAAGGTGCTTGGTCATCTCTCAAGAGAAAATTTAAAGATGGAATAAAGTAGAAAGAGAGAACCAACCCTAATGTGTGATCTCGATGTATTGATAATATGAGATAATATAGGGATCTTAGGGGCAAACATTGGGTATAACAAGTTGATTGCTAACCCTTTCAGCTCGCCTCCTTTTGAGGACTTATCATCTATAACATATGCAAGCACGAATGTAAACACACCTGAAAAATACCTACACAAAGATAGGGTTTTAAACAAACCCCGCACAAGTAGCACACAATGGCAAATAATGCGGAATTTCCCTAAACAGGTCTTTAAACAAACCAGAGGGGTTCCTAACATAATCAGCAACGGAGACCCCCGTTTTACATCTCTACCCTACTTCTCATGGCATCAGAAAGAAGTAAAGTTCCCACTTCTCATGATATCTAGAAAGCGGTAAAGAAGTGTGATAAAGTGCAGGGAAATGTAAAAGCAGTAGCGAAGACTACCAAAAACAAACGGATCGTCAAAAGCGGACAAAAGCTATGGAGAAGCAGAGAGTACGCGTCAAGCAAGCGTCACCAAGAAACAAACAAAGTCAGAAACAATATCCAACTAAGATAAAAGCACACACATGTTGCAAATGTAACGTGTAATCAAAAGTTCCTACACAAAGTATCACAAAATATCACATGCATCTGGACAACATATAATATGATATGAATTTCTCAGGACGATGAGAAATAAAACGTGTCGCATCAGAAGCGAGCATAAGCTATATGATTCCATCACATAATAACTTGTTATATTACATGATCGAAAGTACCAAAATGTACCTTGCACAATGAACAAACACGTCAAAAATAACGAGGCACAAAGGTATGAAAATATGAATAAAAACTAAAAAAAAAAGTATTTTTTATTAGTTTTTTATGTGAGGAAAAATTCTATTGAAAACTAAAGAATTAATTCCTAAATTCAACCAAGAAGTTCTAACAAGTTTTATTGATTTTATAATTATCTTGTCACAAAGAAAAGAAAAATTAAATCCTAAATCTAACAAAGAAAGGTAGGATCAGGGGTGTGAAACTCATCCAGGGGGTTTTGCAGAAGCAGGGCGCTAGGCCCATTTCAAAATGAAGTCCATTAACTATTTTTGTTTACCAACCCAAAAGCTAACAAAAAAATGCCCTTTCGGCCAAAACCAAGAAAATCCCTCGGTCCACACCAACACCAGCATTACTAATCCAAGCCCCATTTTTTTTTTAATTTTCAGCATGGTTATGTTTCAAAAATAATAAAATATAAAAATTAAAAGGGAAAGAAGATGATACGATTCCATTTTGGGGAGTTAGGGTTATACAGTTTGTGGCGATTGGAATGTTCGTATTCAGAGTTATCTCATTCTTCAACCTTCTTCTGCGCTGCGACCGACACCTCCAATACTTTGCCATTCTATCTTCTTCACATATCAAACCCCAACCTCCTGCATCTTCATCTCGTTTGCTTCACCGATTCAAACTTCAAACTTTTTTCAATCTCAATTTGTCTTCGCTTGCCAGCAACACCGTTCTCAACAAACTTCTCTCCTCATTTTCCTCAAAAACATCATCTCTTCCGATCCGAATGAAAATAAATCACAATATAACTAAAAAAATATGAAGGAAGACGAAATATCAATGCTTATCTACCGGAGACGAGTATGGTGCTCCTTTTACAGCGGCAACGAGAAAGCAGAAAATCAGAGATCTGGAAGATAATCTAGGTATCACGTTCTTGACTCTTTCCTTCTCTTGCAATCTCTGCTTCTTCTTCTATTCGCTTCCGTTTCCATGATTGCGCTTTTGTGATGCGCTTTGAGTATTGTTGTAGAGAGTAGAGAGACATTGTTGTTCGTGATATTGCAACGATAGGATGTGAATTTCCATTGATGATAATAAGTGATGAATTTGTTGCAGATTTGATGTAGATAAAGATTGAATAAGAGTGTGATGAAGGTGTCATTATTACAACGAATTCTTGAGAGGAAGATGATGAAGGTTCAGTTGAGCAGAGAGACTTTTTATGTGATTTTGTGATTCTTCTGCATAAGTGAAGAATGATGAAGATTATGGTGATTATGTAGGAACTTTGAAGATGATGAAACAGAAAGCAGAGAGATGAATGAGAGATTTTGGGGATTCTTCTTAGATTATGAAGAATGGAGAAGATGGAGATGGAGAGAGATAATGCAGATGAGGCTTTGAGGAGTGCAAAGAAGAAGAAAGTCTTGGTGAGTTTTTTTGGCTCTCCTGGTTTTTCTTTTTTGATTTTCTATCTGAATCCCCCTTCTCTCTCGTGAATCTGTTATATCATCAACAAAAGTTTGTTATGCTGTTAAATACTAAGCTGGCAAAATCGGTTAGGATAGTTAGTGAGTTGGTTAAAGGTTATGGAATTCTTTTGTTTTTCTGTTATAGGTAGTGTGATATGGTGGCATAACCGACTGTTTAATACTGGTTTTGCATTTGTGTTCGCAAATGTTGCGGTAAGCAAGAGTCACAATCGACTTTTCTTTTATCCAAATTAAGGAAAGGGTGAAAAGAACATAAAAAGACCTTTTCGAGAGTTTTCTGAGTAAGGGGGGTAGATTATGGAAAGGGAAGGTGTTAGTACCTTTTCCATCCGTAGTTATCTACGGGCTCTTAGATGTTAGCTCGTTTGAAAAAATACTTTGTGCTTTGTGTGTTTGAAAAATATTTTTTGAAAGAAAGCGCCTTAGTACGGCGAACTTTGTAATGTTTCTCGGATTGGTAGAGAATGTATACAAAGTGTTTTTGAAAATGTTTTCTGAAAGAGTTTTGTGTATGTGGAAAAGTTTTTTTTTTAGCAAACATCTAAGAACTATCTACTTTAATCGAAAGGTCGTTCTTTTCCTCTTTTCCTTTAGACAATGTTATCATATTATTAGTGAGTAGGTAGCCATAGTCGTTAGATGTTTTGAGGGACATTTAAAGGGACATCGTATAGTCACAAATGCAACTGGGAGACGCTTTAGCAATTTTGTTTAGGGACTAGATTATTTACCAAAAAGGCAACTGTAGGGTCATCGAGGGACTATGATCTTTTGATTTATGGGTCTTTGCTAAAGCGTTCCTGCCTCACGACTGTTTTATTTCTGAAGGCAACCAAAGTGGGGTAACCTAGAGGTGTATATGTGCAAGTGTATTATGTTAAGTTCTTTTTGTCTTTTTGTTAAGTTTGCTAACATTTGATTTCAGTCTTTTCATACACGCCTAGTTACTAGCAATTAATATATACAGAAATGTAAAGTGCGAAGATAAATCCCTACGCTATTACATGGCTTCATGAAGGGGGTTTACAATGTACAAAAATTGGGGGAAGAAAAAAAATAAAGAAAGCGGTAAAAATCCTAATTAGTTTATTACATCCAGTATACATGTACAATAATGAATAGAAATTGCAACAAAAAAATAATGCGCGCGGAAGTTGAAAATACGTCTAACAACCTAGTAAGAAAATCTTTTTGCTTATTTTTTAATTTAAGAAAGTAAATAACCTAAAAATCTATTTAGAAAATAAAATTAATCAAGAAAAATAGTTTAAATTCTTTTTTAGTTTATTTATTATTTAAAGAAAATAATTAAACATAAATTAAGTTCTAAGTTCTAATTTATTTTTAATTAAAGTAAAATAGTTAATATAGCTATTAATTAATTCAAACAATTAATTTAATTAAAAAAATAAAACCATATTTTTGTGATTTTATTATTACATTATACTAATTGAATAAATGAAGAAAAAAATTAAAATAAAAAAAATATAAAGCAAAGTAACAAAAATAATGCGAAATGGGTCAGGATAATTAGAAATTGGGGGGGGGGGGTGCTGAAATTGAATTTTTCTAGGCCCAAGTGAATGTTAAGCCCAGGCACACTGGATCAGGTGAGATGAGGCCTTGATGGCGCATGGTGGATCTCAAATTGAAGCCTTTATATCTAAACCCCTTATGATTTGAAGGCTAGATCTGATGGTGTTTAGTACACTTCTGACCATGTAATGCATCGAATCTGCATGAAACAAGTTAGAAAATATTAAAATGAAGCTTACTGAGGCGTTTTGTGATGTTTCAGGGTTTGGTAATGATTGCAAAAGCTTCAGGGAGCCTCCAGGAATGTATTTGGATCTTTTGTTTGGACAGAGGAAGACTGGAACCTAAAATGCGAATTTTATAACTTTGATATTTTTTGCAAAATTTGTGGAGCTTTTCTAGGCTGTATATCATGTGTCTTGAAGCTTGCTAATGTGTCCTTTATATAGAGAGGAGGGAGGAGACAAGAGAACAAAGGTAATAACAACCATAAACATGTGTTTTTAAAGCCATGAATGATGTTTTGTAACTTTGGCAAAGACATGGAATCTTATCCTTTTTGAATTTGAATGAATGTGGACATTGCTTGCACGTAATTTTATGGGCCTAGGCTGTCTAAAACATCAACCCAAAGCTCAAAGCCCATTTCCAATTATTTTATACATTTTATTTTATATTGATTTGAAATAAATTAAAATAAATATGAATAAAATAGTTAGCAAATACAAGGCATGGAAAGAATAATTTTAGAGGTCCTCTATAGGCTTAGGAAGATGTTTGAAGTCCAAGAAATTAAGCCATTGACCTAAAACTTCAAGTTTGCTCAATGCATAATTCTTGAAAATTCCCAAATTTTCCCAACTTGGGCAAGCCATAACATGCTCAATTCTTATCTCATGATGATGATCTTGGACTTTTTGGAAAGCCCAAGATGTCTACTTTAATCCCTTTTTTTGATCAATTTTGCATTTGAAGATTTTATCTTGATGTAAAAGGTCTTGACAAAAAGTGCCTTTTGTTGACTTTTTAAAATGACCTGTAATATATAAGCTTATATCTTTCAAATGGTGCATTTATTGTACTTGAGGGATGAGGATAAGTTTTAGGGAATTGGATTCTCTTCAAAATAAGCTTTAGTTGGGAAAAAATTGGATGAAGTATGAGAAAGTTATGCCTGGTCAAAGTTTGGTTGACTTTTCCTATAGAAACCCTAATTAGTAATTCTTGACTTTTGATGAATTAGGAGCATTTCTTGAGGGATAATGATCAACCCTTGATCAAATGATGGATATCACTTCAAAATGTTGATGTTAAACAAAAATCTTGAAGTTTGACTGTATATAGACCATAGTTGACTTTTGACCTAGTACAGTTGATTTTCAAGCATTTGAGCTATTGACTGAGCAAACTTATAGTGCAAGGTATGAAATTTGTCATGGATAATCTTGAAGACATATTAGGACCATGGAAGACATTTGAGACCTTTTGAGCTCACACATCTTGGTGAAAAATGAAACCCTAGTTGGAAGGCCAATGCTTAGGAGGAGAATTTGTCTGATCAATTCTTGGTTAACCTTGAGCAATTGAGGACCTCTAGGAGTATGTCTTGTGTGAAAATGGGAGGGAAAATTTTGGGGTACAACAGCTGCCCCTGTTCAGTCTTCTTAAACTTGGGGATTTAGATTGGCTTGCCCGCCTTTTGTGATCTGAAGGTAGAAGATGATTGAACACTAGAGTGCCCAGAAATTTGCACTCGCATGAAGTAATAATGATGGTAGTTGACGCCGGGAATGGGCTTACAGATGCCATTTGGAGAAGATGACTAAAAGTCATCAGAGATGGGCTTAAAGATGCCATCCAGAGAATATGATGAAGAGTCGTTGGAGATGGGCTTAAAGATGCCATCCAAAGTAGATGCTGACTTCATAAGAGGTCTCTTTGTGGAGATTCATGTTCTTGTTGTCTGAGGAGGAGTCCACAGAGGGATGTTGATTTTTGTTGTTTTCCTGTTTGAGGAAAACTCTGTGGGGAATAGAGTCTAGGAACTTCAATTGTCCATGGCTCTACTGAGGGGTTATCTCTGGATTGGAGAGATGATAGTTTTCTATTTTCTTGTTGAAATCTAGGCTTCACAGTAATTTGTAGGGGATAATGAAATGAATTGCTATTTGGAAATGTATCATAAGAAACCCGTGTAGGGCTGTTTCAAGATGAGCCCGGGTAAGACTTCATCTGGAAGTGTATAAGAAGGAACCTGGGTAAGGCCGTTTTAGAAGATATATAAGAGGGAGCCTGGGTAGGGAAGCTTCAGAATGAGTCCAGGTAAAATTGCATCTGGAAATTATAAGAAGGAACCTGGGTAGGGTTTCCTCAGGATGAGTCAGTGTAAAACTTCATCTGGAAATTGTGAGAAGGAACCTAGGTAGGGTTGCCTCAGGATGAGTTCGTGTAAAACTGCATCTGGAAATTCAAGAGAAGGAACCTGGGTAGGGTTTCCTCAAGATGAGTCCGTATAAAACTGCATCAGGAGATTGTGAGAAGGAACCTGGGTAGGGTTGCTTCAGGATGAGTCCTTGTAAAACTTCATCTGGAAATTCAAGAGAAGGAACCTGGGTAGGGTTGCCTAAGGGTGAGTCCGTGTAAAACTGCATCTGCAAATTCAAGAGAAAGAACTTGGGTAGGGTTGCCTCAGGATGAGTCTGTGTAAAACTGCATCTGGAAATTCAAGAGAAGGAACCTGGGTAGGGTTGCCCCAGGATGAGTCCGTGCAAAACTGCATCTGGAGATTGTCAGAAGGAACCTAGGTAGGGTTGCTTCAGGATGAGTCAGTGTAAAACTACATATGAAACTTCAAGAGAAGGAACCTGGATAGGGTTTCTTCAGGATGAGTTCGTGTACTGCATCTGGAACTTCAAGAGAAGGAACCTGGGTAGGGTTGCCTCAGGATGAGTCCGTGTAAAACTGCAATTCGAGATAGTGAGAAGGAACCTGGGTAGGGTTGCTTCAGGATGAGTCCGTTTAAAACTTCAGAAGGAGGGAGAAGGAACCCATGTAAGATTGCTTCATGAAGATCCCATATAAAGCTGTATTTGGAAGTCAGAAGAAACCCGTGTAAGATTGCTTCATGAAGAGCCCGTATAAATATGTATATGGAAGTCAGAAAAAACCCGTGTAAGATTACTTCATGATGAGCCCGTGTAAAGCTGTATTTGGAAGTCAGAAGAAACCCGTGTAATATTGCTTCATGTTGAGCCCGTGTAAAGCTGTATTTGGAAGTCAGAAGAAACCCGTGTAAGATTGCTTCATGATGAGCTCGTGTAAAGCTGTATTTGTTCGCACAGATAATTACTCTGTTTTGTTTCAGGAGCTAATCCTAGACCTGTTGAAAATTGTTGATGATAAATATTTGTTGATTGATATTTCTTGAAAAGGTAAAGCGTTAGCTGTATGCAATGTCATGATGTATGAAATGCATTGTGTAATGGTGTTCTCAAAATAAAAGAGATTGGGATGTATGCATTTGTACTGCAGATGCTATGACGTTTGTAGAATGATGTATGAATGCAATATTTGAATGTATCAGTTATTCTATTGCAGCTCTGTTAAATTAGGGAAAATGAATCCCTGATTGCAGCTGGAGATGAAGAATGTAGGTCTTCAGATTTTGTTGAAGTTAAACTGATGGGATATGATCTTCCATTGTTAGAGAAATAAACTCTGTCGGGGAAGGAAAGCTCTGTGCACTGCCTGAGGATTTTGTGAAATCCTATTGGGGAATCCTAAGAAGTTTGACGACTTTTCTAGGGAAAACCTGATGTTGGAGCAGTAGTTGGAAATTCCTATTCTACCGGGGATACAAGAACACCTGACATCACTAGGTTGTAAGCTGAGGGTATGGGGGTGACTTTTTAGTAAGATGCCCATGCCTCTGTACCTACTGGAGAAAGTACCTGCAGAGACTTTGTGGATGGTTTGAATGTCATCCCAACTCCTGGGGTGCTTGGTAAATGCTGATCAGAATGATAAGTCTTCTACTGATAAACAAATGACAAGATGACGGGACATAGTCATACGTTTTTAATCCCTAACTTTTTCCTGGACCGCCTTCCAGGTTTTCAGTCCATCGGGATACCCTTTTTTGCTCAAGCCACCTTTTCAGGTTTTTAACTTGCCGGGTGTATAATGTTTTTGTATATATCCCAAATTTTTGCCCGAACTCTTTTGGTTCGCTGGGATGCCCTTAATTTTGCCTAGGCCTGTCAACCTAGCAGGTCTTTTTCATGCGTAGTATTTTCTGACTATGTTCGCGCTCATAGGATGTGGAGAGTTGTCACCGTCTATGACAACAAGTGTTGTAGAAATGCCAGAAAATGTTTATGTGATCGCATGTGCCCTTTCATACATGGGAGCCTGTGTGGGGCTGCTTCAGGAGGAATCTAGTGCACCTGATGTTTGATCAAGTTTCTAATAGTCTTGAATTTCCTAGGTATTTTTTCTAAGAACTGTCATAGAAGGATTCGAATACATGATGCTGGCACCATCTGATACTACTGGCACAGACAAGCAATTTGGTGGTACCAAAGATTCAAATTTCATAGTGATTTTCTGCTGGAATCCCCGATCAATGTAACAGCCCCCAGGTGATTTAGATGGAGATCTGCCCCTGGATATTCAGCATTTTTGGAGAGATTCTTTGCATATTGGCTTGACTGCCCCAGATTAATTAGACACCTTGTCACGCCCCTTGATTATGAAAGGCTTGTTATTGGGAATCTTTTTTCTGTCTGAGGTGATTCTGTCCATTGAGGGGTCTTCGTTCACTGAATATTTGTTGTGTGAATTTCTCTTCCATTTGAATAATTAACCATATTCAAACAATGTCATTTAAAGAATGCAAAGCTTATGTATGTCTTGAAATTTTTTTGAAAATGCATTTTTTGTAGTAAAACAAAATTTGCAAGAATGTGATATTCACTTATGATTTATAGCAAACCTTACAAGAGTCAGGATACCTTTGTAACAGTATGCTCTCGAACTAACCCATGCTTCAGCTAGGACTTTTAAGGGTTGTAACGTGGCCTGGTTCACGGTTTAAGAAACAAAGGATAAAGGCTCAAAATTTATTTGTACCCACCCGTTATTCGTGATGTTCTTCAGTCCTAAGCTCAGTTAATTGTGCATTTCAAATCCTAGTTGAGTTCTGGAATGTTGGCCCTGATATTTCGATGATGGTTCAAAAATTGAACGTTTGTTTGAGAAGGCAACCATTTTTGTGACCTTTTCTTTTTGTTGAGGATTTGTAGGACCTCTTTCTTTTTTTATTTTGCTATCCATATCTTTTTCCTGAACTATTTCTTTTGTGATTACAGCCAGCGGGATGCCCCATTTTTTTCCTTAAGTCTCCTTCATAGGTT